ACAATGATAGGTTCCAGAGATAAGGACTGGATATCTTTGGAGCCACTGTTGAGCTTACTACACATGACTTTGGGAAAGACATTTGGCAAAGCAAAATCTGGCCTTTTTTCTTATGCTGAAATTAGTTTCAAGAAATAAAAATAATTTTGTAAATTACATTTCCAATATTCTGGGGATAAAATTCAAAAAAAGGTTGTATAGTCACAGACTTTATGAAAATGAAGTAAAATTGATTAGTTCTCTTTCCCAATAAACACTAATGGTATGCATGAAAAAATACAAATAAAAATTGTTGCACTGGAGGGCAAAATGGCACTGAAAAGTCACAGAAACAAAATGGATATTCCTGATTGGTCCACAGCTTCTCTACAAGTATTGATACAGGGACCAAGTGTCCTTCTGTCTCGTGACTTCATTATCGTCAAAACACAGCTTCCTGCACTGCTACAGAACAGAAAAGAACATGGAAGCTGATAATGTGGGAGAGAGTTTTCTAGGCCAGGCCTGGCAGTGGTAACCCTCACTTTCTTTTATATCTTACTGTCTGTAACTCATGCTATGAACTGAATACTTGTATCCCCCGCCCCTCCCGCAAATTTATATGTTGAAATCCCAACTTCCAAGATAATGGTGTTAGAAGGTAGAACTTTGGGGAGGTAAACTGGTCATGAGGGCAAAGCCTTCATGGGTGGGAATAATATTCTGACAAAAGAAACTGTAGACAGAACTGTCACCCCTTTCACCATGTGAGGACACAGCAAGAAGGTGCCATACGTGAGGATGTGGACCCTCATCAGACATGAGATCTGCCAGTTCGTTGATCTTGGACGTTCCAGCCTCCAGAACTGTGAGAAATACATTTCTGTTGTTCATAAGCTACGTAGTTCAAGGTGTTTTTGTTGCAGCAACCCAAATAGATGAAGACAACTCAGTTACACCTAAATTCAAATGAATATGAAAAATATTATCTAACTGCTATCCCTGAAAAAAGAAGAAATGGATAGGTGAATAACTAGCCATCTCTTCCACATCTCTTCTTCTTAACCTATAAACAAATAGAAAAGAAATTAAAAAACAATAAAAACAATAATTGGATCTTCAATGAAACAAGAAAATGTCCCAACCTTAAATCATAAATCATACAATATCTGTGCATCAGTGATCATATAGAAACAAACTTTGGTAAGAACACAAAGAAGTAACATATGTTTTTAAAGTCTACATGCTTTTGTGAAAGAAGTTACAGTAAACAAAAGCATAGAATAGGATGACAAAATTTTCAACCAAGAATGAACCATTGAAGAACAAGATATCTCAGTCAAAACCCAGTTCATTCGTATGATAGCAAGAGAAGAGTAGTAGCTGCAGAAGTCTTATTTATAAACCATCTTTATTGCTAAATCATACCTCCTTTGTTTGAACAAAGCACAGAAAATGAATCATTTTTTTAAAAAAAGAAGAAAGGAAAAAACTTAAATAAAAGGCAATGCAAACACACATTACAAGAAGAATATAAGAGTTTCCCAAAGAAAAGGAAGCGTTCAACAAAACAATTTCCACTATTCTCAAACAAACTATACCCAACATGATTGCTTTTAAAAAGAGAGCTTAAAGATCACATGATAATGTCTAGGAAAAGATTGTACAAAAGAGAAAATCAGAAAACTGAACTGGGAGAACTTAGAAAAGAAATGGAAGAATATAATGGAAGCACACAGAATGAAAAAATTAAAATAGTACAGATTTTAAAGATATATTTGAAATAATAAAAATACAATAAACCTGATTGAAAATGCCATGGACATGGTGAATAGATTAAAGATAAATCAAACAAAAGTGGTATTGCAAAGATGGTAAATATTTATAAGGGACAAAGTAAATATTAAAATGACAATAAAAACAAAAGAGAAACAAATAATCCAAGTTGTGGTATAAAAAAATACTTTCTTGAAATAAAGACAGAGAAGAGTTTTGAAATCTGAACGGCCAAGACTTCCATTTAAAAACAACTCAGAGCATTGAAATTGCTGAGCTTAAAGGTTTTTTTTGTTTTTTTGTTTTTTTGTTTTTTAAAAATTTTTGATGTTGTATAAGAACCCAAACATATAAAGAAAATAGCACAAAACAGACTAGCGGGCTGCCATAACAGAATGCCTGAGACTGGATAATTTATAATGAACATAGTTCTCATAGTTCTGGATGCTGGGAAGTGCAAGATCAAGGAATCAGCATCTAAGAAGAGTTTCTTCCTGCATCATTACATGTGGGGGAGAAAAAAAAGCCAAAGAGAGCAAAGGGGACAAAACTCACCCCTTTACAGCGGCATTAATCCCACCCAGAGGCTGGAGACTTTGTGGACTAATCACCTCTTCACAGTCCCACTTCCCTATACTGTTACATTAGCAATTAAACTTCAACATGAGTTTTGGAGAGGACAGACATACAGATCGGGAACATGCGCGTCTTATTTTTCCGAATTTCCAGCGATTTATCTGCCCGCTTTTTCCCATCTTTGTGTTTTACATCTGCCTCTGGTTCTGTGGAGTGCGATGGGTGGACGTACCTGGAGGGCGGTTTGGTGTAGGCGTGCCTCTTCGCTGTTTGAAGTTTCCCTTCTAACAGTCAGGACCCTCCACGCTCGGTAGGTTGTTGGAGATGCTTGAGGTCCACTCCAGACCCTGTTTGCCTGGTCAGAAGCAGACAGGCTCAGAAGCATAGAATATTGCTGAACAGCAAGGTGGTACCTGTCTGATTCTGCCCTTTGGAGGCTGTCCTCCAGCGGTGTACGCCACACCTGTGACGCTGTGGGTGTCGAGACTGCCTAGTGGGATGGTCTCCCAGTGTAGGCTACTCAGGGTCAGGGACCCACTGAGCAGGCAGTCTGTCCCTTCTCCAGATCTCCACACGCGTCGCGTGTGTGGGACATCCAACTGCTGGCTGCCTTCAAAGCTGTCAGCACAGAGTCGGTTGCGTCTGCAGAGGATTTCTGCTGCGTTTTGTTTGCTCATCTGTTGCCCTGCTCCCCTAGAAGGGGAGTCTACAGAGAAGAGCAGCGTTTCCTTGAGCCTGCTGTAGCTCCACCACACGTTCGAGCTTCACAGGCCAGCTGTTTGTTTACGCTACTTACCGGCGCGCTCAGTCTCCGCTGCTGCCTTGCTGGTGTAGACACAGACTGCTGTGCTAGCAATGAAGGGGAGGCTCCCGTGGGTGTGACCCTCCCCCCCGGCCAGTGTTGTGGGGACTATGATCTCCTGGTGTGCCTGTTCGCTTAAAGCGCAGTATTGGGGCGTCGGGAGTTACCGCGATTTTCCAGGTGTTGGTGTGTCTAGTTCCCCTGCTGCGGAACAGCGGAGTTCCCTTACCCCCTTGCCTTCCCCAGGTGAGGCAATGCCTCCCCTGCTTTCAGCTCTTGGCTGGTCGGCGCTGCGCAGCTGACCCAGC